TATCAATAATTTTTCATGGAAAATTAAATCATTTTGAAACACTGAATGTACAGAAGAGTACATTTTATATTAAAAAGGAAGAGTACTATTTATATTAAAAAGGATATTTATGTAGAAATATACTCTAATCTCTGGAATGTTACACAAGAAACTGGTATTACTGAATCTTCAGAGAGAAACTGAGTCGCTAAGGGACCGAAGTGGAGGGAGATTTTTCATTCTCTACCATGGTATAACTTTTGAATCTTATAACATGTGATATATTACCCTTTCTGAAAGGTCAAAATGTTTTAAAAATTAAAATTAAAAATTAAAACTCTCTGTGCCCCGGACTCCATTTCCACACAGGCCTTCTCTAGCAAAGCCCCTTCTACATTTGCCCAACAGTAGCAACAGCCTAGTAGCCTATTATTATAAGAGTTGAGGGGGTGACCGGTTAGCTCAGTTGGTTAGAGCGTGGTTACTGATAACACCAAGGTTACCGTTTCGATCCCCACATGGGCCACTGTGAGCTGTGCCCTCTCTAAAAGAGTCAACTATGCTATTGTAGCATGAAAGCAATGTGTAACCAATGACCATGGCTGTTCCCCAACAAAATTAAATAGAAAACAAAAGTTCATGCATAGCTGATGATAAAAGGAAACCAAAACCAATCAAGTACATATTTCCTCCCAATTAAGAAAAAAACTGTCACTAGAAGGTTTGTAATCTCTGTGGACAGATTTATTTTTCTCTCCTGCATCTTATGTGGAAAGGAAGCATGGCCCCAAGGGTAGAACTATTCACTCAGAGTACAGAGGGCAAGGACTTTTACATTGTATACATTCCCTGTGCCTATCTCAGTTCCTTGCATATGGAAGACACTCACTACATATATTTTAATAACTAATAATGAATCAATTAAATTTTAAATAATTGTAATATGAAAGTGTCATAATTACAAAGCTGCAGAAGACAGCATGCTCTGACAACACCATCAATTCTCAGGAAAGCCCACACCATGGCTCATGGTTTGGGTGATTTAGCTGAGCCATCATCGCCATCTAGTGGCAGAACACCTACATTACCGGTTTAGTAAGTTAGTGGGGTTTTTCTTTTTCTAATCAATTTATTTTATGATAAACTATAAAATTAAAATGAAGAAGTGAAAGTAAACATATTATAGCATAAGAGAGAATTAGAGAGAAGAATGGAGAGGAAACCAAGAGATGGAGTTAAACTCTTGGGAGAGTTGGGGAAAGAGAATGGCACTAAAGACACAGTAAGTAAAAAGAGAAGTCAGGTAAAGGGAAAATGAGTGGGGTTGGTTCTCATACTTGTCAAAGTTGACATCCAGCATGCCCGCCTTCTCCTGGCTGATTCGTAACAATGGTGTATCCAGCCGCCGAATACAGTCCTTGTCCAGCGTTGATGTCCAGTCTTGAAAGGTTTTTCGAACCAGTTCATCAATGGCCTGAACCATCTGCTGATAGGTATGCACACTCTCCTCTCCAGTCCCAATGTGAGGCAAGAAATGAGCACTAGAAAGACACTGAGGAGGAAGAAAAATGAATGGGTAGAGCCTACTTGCCACATTCCTCCATGTTACCACCTCCCTGAGACACATACACACACACACACACACACACACACTCACCAACAACAAGAACAACAATATGTGTAAGCCTTGTCATGGAGATTGATTTTGACTACTTAGAGGAAAGGTGGAGCCAAAAGGAAGGGTGAGAAGAGACCAAGGCACAATTGGAAAGGGAGTCAATATGAAGAAAGAGAAGCACAGAGATTCAGCTCCAGAAAAAAGTTGGGGAAAGAAAGTAAATTCTAGAAGGTGAAGGGTTGAAGAACTACAAGACTGAAAAACTAGTATGAGCCCTTCCTCACTACAGTCTTAGCCTGTCACCTTGCAGCTGCCGACTCAAATGCTCATGTGTACTGATCCTTTGAAGACATGAGGAAGCGTCTTGGAATGCTGAGACCCGAGGGAATGATCTCGGTAAAACTTCCTTATCTGGTGGTCTCCGAATGCTGAGGCCATCCCAGGGATCATACGTATGTGTGAAAGCACAACTGGTGCTTGATCACAATAAATTTCAGTGAAGCAGCTGCCGGTCTAATCGAATCAATTAACTGGGTATAGATATTCAAATGGACTTCTTTGTGACAGTTGTAAATAAAAGTTATTCACCCGCCAGGATCAGGGCTGGCTCTCTCAGTCTGCAAAGACAAGACCCCTGGCCCGCAAAAACTCTATTTTTGATTCTTGTGATTTCTTAACCCGTGGCCGCCCCTCCTCGAAACCCCAGGCCTTGTCAGGCAGGACGTGATATTAGCCCACTGCTTCTTAAGAAGCCTCCAGTTGTCTGCAGGCGGCCTTATTCTCTCGCTGAACCAATTAGATGATAGCAGGAACCTCAATCAGCTTTAGGTCTACATTCTCAAAGAGTTTTGGGGTTTTTTCTGTTTCTTTGTGACTGTCCTTCTAGGGCAGCGGTTCTCAACCTTCCTAATGCTGCGACCCCTTAATACAGTTCCTCATGTTTTGGTGACCCCCAACCATAAAATTATTTTCGTTGCTACTCTATAACTGTAATTTTGCTACTGTTAAGAATCGTAATGTAAATATCTTTTTGTTTTCCGATGGTCTTAGGTGACCCCTGTGAAAGGGTTGTTCGACCCCCAAAGGGGTCNTAAAGAAAGCCTCCAAAGTAAAAGAGAGAGGCCAAAATGACTGAAAATTACCTTAAACTTAGAATTCTAAACTCAGCCAAATGTCCAACAAGTGAAACAGGACACAGTTGTCAATCACACCAGAACTCAAAAAACTGACTTCCCATGCACCATTTCTCAGAAAGCTACTAATGGATGTACTCCACCAAACAAAGGCATAAACTAAGAAAGAGGAAGACAAAGGAAATAGGAAATCAAACAAGAAAAGAGGCTCAGGGAAGTCCCAGGATGACAACCTTACAGCAGGTCTCGAAACCAACTAATCAGACTGAAACAAGAAGACAGGGAGTTCCAAGAGGTACAGCTCTAAGAACAACATGAAATCAGTACCATACCTTGTAAGTCAGATAATGAGGAAAAATATTATTCACAAGGGTTTTATTGGTTGGTCTAGAAGAATTAATGATAATGAACAGCGTGCTAACAGAAACAATAAGGTAATTATTATTTCCCAAATGAGCAAACATTGTACAAAGAAAGCACTGTAACAACAGAAAATTACTTGGATCAGCAGTAAACAACACTAACAGTCATATTAAGATAAACACTGAATATTGATTTTAACCAAAAATTGTGCTATAGCTATACTGGGAGGATGGAGGGACAAGAATATATATGGAAACATTGCTATTAGCATAAACATATTCTCATATGTTCTTCAAACTGGAGGCCTTGAATTTGCCTCCCTAAATACCATGGCAAATCCACTTGGGCATGTATATTATACAATGCTGCACCAAAATGTTTCATTTTCTCATCTTGATAAGATTTTCAAAATAACTTTAAAGCAAATTAATCAAGTTTTAACTTGTCAGTCAACAGGATGAATTTGGTTAATACTTTCCTGATGTTGAACTGAAAACCCAATGAGAAACTTTTTTCACCGTAATGTTCAGCTTTTGCCAGAAGTTTCTCAATAAATTTCTGGAATGCAAATTTTATTTTATTGACAAATATACTTTCTAAAAATAAATCAGTCTAGGGAATCATTTTTGTAAAGTATTTTATAATTTACCCTCAGACAAGTGGTCAGGCAGTAGAGGTAGGAAAGTGAAGCTGGCTGAGTTTAGTGTTGACAGCACAGAATGAACTGACCCATGGAGAAAGCACCATATGATTAGGAAACAAGGAGAAAGTGGAAGCCCTGGACACAAAAAACAAACAGATGTCAGTGTTCCCTATCCTGCTCTGGGGAAATTCCACTACACAGAGGAATCTGCTACAGTGCATAGAGATAACATAGCTCTTTTCAGCCTGTGTATAGACAACATCTGGAATATGTTTTTGGTTAAGTGCAATCTGTAAAGCTGATCTGGCCATAAAAGGTGGTAAAAGCCAATTTGGACTTCGAAGTTCAAAGATTTGGGATATAAGGTGGAGTAACAAAACCGCTTGTGAGATAAAATAGGTGCTATTAGGACTGGAAGGCTCCCAGAACTAAGGGAGAGGCAGGTAATTCTGAGGACAATCAGGACATCTGAAAAGCATGCAAGATCTTATCTAGACATTGAACACAAAAAGAGTAAACCTGATAAAGTTATCTGCACCTCCTTGGAATGTTAATACATTTCGGAAAAGCTGAAACTGTTTTGAATTTCTTTACTAGTTTGATGAGCCCAGACTTTTCAAAATGCTTCCCTGTGATAAAGTTCCCCACCCCCTACCCTCACCCCCCATACATTATTTCCTGGATTGAGGCAGTTTTATCTTTAAAAATGTAAAGCAGCTTATAACAAATATCTCTAGAAAAAACTGCCAAGGGACAGGAGCACCTCTTTTCTCTGGAAGAAGTGTCTAGCAACTATTGGGTTTCAGCTAAACCTAGGCCATAAATATTTGGCCCAAAGTTGCCTTGTTATACTCTACTATAAAGATTATACAAACTGTATTTTAGATAAATACCTAATGTATTCCTCAACAAGAGATGATCACAGCAGACAGAAAAGTTCTCTCTTAAGTTTATCCTTACTAGATAGACACTAGCCGAAACATTAGGTAAACATATCACTGTGGAGGGTAGGGAACAAGGTGTAGGAAGCCCAGTTGAAATCCTCTAGTACCGAATATTCAGAAACCTTATAGAAATTTTACAACTTATAAGTCCATCAATAGTGGACTGATTGATTAAAATTACAGTACAGCCAAACTATGGGCTGTTATAAGCCATGGAAAATAATTACGTATTTCTGTTCCTACAGAATAGAAAAACTCCCACACATATTGTTAACGTTAAAAAAAAGTTGCAAAAATAACTGGTTATAATGCGATCCTATTTTATGTGTTTAGTGTATATTTTTTATTAAATGGTAATCATGGTTACCTCTTAGAGGCAGGGCTGTGTGCTGGATTTTCACTTTTTCTCTTATATATTTCTACATCAATTTTTTTTTACAGTGAGTATGCACTACGTTTGTAATTTTAAAATACTCAGTAAATATTTTACAAATTAAAGAAAAACAACCATATGAAATGGGTAGGAAGAATAAGAAAAAATATATAACATATCTTTAAGAGTNTTCAGTCTAGTTGTGGAGGACGTTGCTTCACTGGCCCAAGTTGGCACCATCATTGCGCTCTTCCCGGGTGAGGCAGATCAGTCGCCGGCTTCTGGACAGCTGCTCACAGCAGCTGCTGGCCGCTCACATTGGCTATTGACCGCTCACAGTAGCCCATGGCAACCCACTGCAGCAGTGGCTGCAGCCCACACTGTCGCCAGTGACTCCAGGTTGAGCTGTTGTTCAGCATCTTAGCTGTAGAGGGCAATATCACTGGCCCTCATATGTGGGATCGGAACCAGGGCCCTCTAGTGTCCCAAGCCAGCTCTTAACCAACATGCCACTCGGCTGGCCCTAAAATTTCCTGACTTTTAAATTCTGACAACCATTCAACTGAAAAATAATTATAAGTGGGGAGCTTCTGACTGCTGACAATGGTCTTTCCTTGACCTAGGTGATAGTTGCAAGGGTGTTTATTTTTATACCTATTTGTTAAGCTGAACGTGTATGTTTTAAGTACTTCTCCGTGAGTATGACATGTATTGTACAAAAAAAATTTTTGACAAAAACTATTTAAAGAATAAGATGATTTGTAAAAGTGGCTGGGTACAAAATTAACTTCTTAAAATCAAAGTTTTCCAATATAAAACTGTAACCAGTTAAACATTATCATGGAGGAAGAGACCCATGATAATTAAAACAATAAAACATTAATAAGAAATGTTTATATAACATTTATAAATGTTATATGTAACAGTTCTGTATTATAACATTGTCCATGTCAACATTTCTTGTTAGTTGGTTAATATATATAGGAAAAATGAATTATGGACAAAAAAACAAGACTTAAGGGCTGGCCAAGTGGCGCATTGGTTAAGAGCTGGCTTGAGACGCCAGCTCTGAGCATCAGGGCCCCAGTTTGGATCCCACGTGAGGGACAGTGACACTGCCCTCTACAGCTAAGATGGTAAACAACAGCTCGACCTGGAGCTGGGCTGCCATGAGTCACCGGTGACAGCGTAGGCTGCAGCCCGTGTTGCAGTGAGCTGCCATAAGCTACCGTGTGTGGCCAGCAGCCTGTGTGAGTTGCCAAGAGCCTCAGTGAGCGGCCGTCCAGAGGCTGGCGACAGATCTGCCTCACCCGGGAAGAGTGCAATGATAATACCAACATGGGCCAGTGAAGCAACGTCCTCCACAACTAGACTGAAGAACAAAAGGACAGCAA